ACATTTTTTCATTTTTAGAAAGTTTTTCCCACACCCTATGCCTATTAAGACGTTCAGCCTATCGTTTCATAATTTTTACTTTTATCAAAAAAAAAAAAGCTTATATTTCACAACATAAAAAAAATAATCCAGTGAAAATCAAAGTCAAGTGAAACAACAAAGCAAAACAACAAGATTTGTCTTTGATGCTTTTACTAAAGAACATGGATCACCCTCGCTTAACAATTGTTTAAATACTGGTCTTCCATTACAACCTCTTAACTTTATTATACAAAATTTATTATACTTTTTAACTTCATTATACAAAACAGATTGCAACCTATTTGTCTAACTGGAGACATTAAAAAAACATTCCTATAAAAAAAGACAGAGTTCAAAGGTTGTGACGTTTTTCGATTCTATTGGATAGAGGGCTTAAAAAGTAAAGAAGTGGTAACTCTAAGATTCACTCGAATCCCGTTTGACTGTATATCATCCCCTTTATTCTTTGTAGAGTAGTCAAGCAACAGTTAATGACGTATGAAAAACAACACCCGCCTCAAAAGACTGAAATTCAGCTAATCAGCAAAAGCATACATGTTGATAATTACTGGAGGAACTGATCTTGAATCTGTCAAAAAAATTTAAACACACAGCTATTAATTTGTTTAAAAAGGGAGGATTTCAGCTTCATAAAAAGCACTCAAACCTCGCTGTATTAGAAACCAACGGATCAGAAGATAATTGCCATGAAGTTACCATCAATGAAAATAACCACTGTTAAGCAAAACTTCTTGGTTTGTTATGGGACGAAGACAATGACACTTTGCTGGTGGATTGAAGGCCGACTCCCTACACAGATAGCAAGAACCAACAATCAATTTTACAAAGTTTGGCCAAAGTTTATGACACTAACTCCAAAACTAGTATATTGACAAATCTGTGATCTACAGTATTCATCGGACAAACCAATTGTAATTGACTTAGCAGAGAACTGTCTGCTATCAAAAAATACTTTACCAAAATTAACGCCTATGCCAAGAAGTATAACGGTTATAAATTAGCTAATAAAAAATGTTGAAACCCTTGGGTTTGATGATGCAAGCAAAGATGGCTGCTGCAATCCAATAAATGTGGTTGTACACCAAGATAAAAAAGTCACTCATGGACTACTAATTGCCAAATCACACATTTTTAAACGAGGGTTGTCTATTTCCCAACTTGAATTGATTGCAGGACACATGATAGCTAATGCTCTTGCAAATGTTAAATCGGCATTAGAAGGACATCCAGTTATGGAGATATATAGTTGACTATATTGCTCTGTGGCGCTACATTGGGTACTTAATGACAATCATAGATTGAAGCAGTTTGTGTCAAATTGCGTTAAGAAATTAATAAACGTGATTGGATTATTTGGCTTCACTGCCCTACCAATCAAAATCCTGCTAATATAGGAAGCAGAGAAGTCAAAAATGGAAAACTTCCTCAATTATGGCTCAACGGTCCTTCATGGCTTGCAAGAAAGAGTGAGTGGCCATGCAATATAACTCATACACAAATGGAAAAAGTAAAGAACGAAGTCATCCCAACAAAACACATCACCTGGTTGTAGTCGAGAAGTGTAACTACTTGGACAAACTGATAAACGAGTATCAACTACCAAAAATTATAAGAATAATAGCACGGATCTTAAAAATTATGAACAATCTTAGAAGGAAAAATAAATGCCGTGGAGAACAAAAAGGTTATAGCAAAAAAATATATATTAGTGGGAGAGATTTTTTTGCTTAACAATAAAGGAATCGAGGAGAGTGGAAAATCAGTAAGGTTACAAAACGTTAAGGTAAACGTGATACTATAATTCGTGGTGCTAAATTAAAGATGAGTAATAATCAAATAGTGGAAAGACTAATTTAGATGCTACATCCGTTAGAAGTTAGCTATCAAGCTTTTAACCTGATTTAAGAAAACATAAAAGATTCTAAAATAGGCTAAGGCATGCCACAAAAACAACCACGAGGAAAATACCATCACGAAAGGCAAAATCAACGGCTGAGGAACTTATAAAAATTTTTTTACAATAATTTTTTTTTATTACGATAACTATTACGGTTCATACCCAGCTAACACAAAACGTTCAACGAAGGTTGTGTACGTTCATAGAACGTACTTGAACGTTCACAACGTTCGTCGAACGTTCATGAACGTCTTGTGTTAGTTGGTTAGGTGGCAATTAGTAATGTATTTTTATTTAATGATAATTGCCAGTTTTAGCGTTAGAGTTGATCTTAGTCTAACTTAGTCAGTTAACTGACTAATTTAGATTTTTCTTTTGTTTTTAACTTTCTTTTGTAGATGTTAGTTGACATCTACAAAAGAGAAGTTTTAATTTTCGACAAAAATACTTATATTGTAACATGGCCTCGTATTGGAAGTTTTCACAAGCTGACCGAGATAAATATAGTTTAAAAGAAAAAAATGCGTAAAAAAACTTATCACAAATAAACAACAAAAAAAAAACAGTGTGTATGAGCTGCACAAATATTTTAAAGTTACGCCAAGGTGGCGCAAATGCAGCTACCTCATCCTCTTTTTTTTTTTTAATTGTTGATTATATATAGGGCCGTCTCGAGGGCAAAGGGGGGGTGAGAGATATGCAGGTCTAACACCCCAAGGAAATAAATTATTCGGCAAATTTAGACACTGGAGTCGGCAAAATTAGATTTGTAAATGCAGTTGGCAAAAAACAGATATGTCACCACGACCCCTCCCCATCCCATACCCCACCCACCTTTAAAATATCTTCGGGACGATTATATAGAGAATTTTATGCTGAATAAGAATCGTATCAAAACATAGATCTGAAAATCAACAAAAAAAGCTCTAATTGTATGTTGAAGTTTAAAAAATTACACTAAAAAAGCTAATATCAGCCATCTTTTTCATACTTGTTAAATTTCAGAAACAATGATATATTATATAAACTAAATGTCTAACTACGATCCAAAAAATGAAGCCGCTTTTGTCTATTTTACAAGTGGCGGATTAAATTTGTTAACAAATATTATTTAACTTTTCTTAAATGTATTTAAAAGTAAATATATTTTAAATATAAATTTTATTTATGTAAAAGTGTTAAGAGGAAATTAGAATACTTGTAAAATAATAATTTATGTCTCCTAAATTCAATTTCGATTAAAAACGTTTTGAATAGAAACGACATATATAATTATAAACATTAATAAATAAGACATAAATAAATAGGAACGACAGACGCTTTTAAAGCATTTAAATGAATTATAATACTTTTTAATAAACCTTGGCTCATAACAAATCTTATTTAAAGTTATTTATATTTATTTAGACGTTTTTTTGAATTATCATTAACTTATTAGAAACATTTGATGCTCTAAAATTGCATTCTTAACATTTATTCTACTCATCGGCTTTAGCTTTTGCCTTTTTTACAAATGACTATATTTATAAACAAAAAAAAGCGGCTTCATCTTTCGTCCAATAACATCCCGCTAGTTAGACTAAATTATATAATTTTTTTTTTTTTTTTTTTTTTTTTTTTTTTTTTGCCGTTTCATATACTTACAGTAAAGACATTTATAAAAATTGGCCGGAGCAAGAAGAAGAAAATGATTGCCTTATCACCGAGCCCCGTTAACAAATTGTCCGTGTTTATAAACAAACATAAATAAAATATACAAAAAAACGTTAAAGAATACATAACTTTTCTCAAATAATAAAATGACATTTATATTAAAAATTTAAAAATAAAGAAAGTTTTGTATACTAATGCAAATATATTTGATACATATAACAAAATATATTTAGTGTTAATGGAAGCACTTTTTCTATTTTAAAATTACCTTTTAAAAAAAATATTTAAAGTCTATTGAATTAAAATCTAATTGAAGTAATATTCTTTTAGAAACTATTTTAAATTTTTCTAAAGAGTAGTGTTCTTTATTAAAGTTTTTAATAAAATTTTTCCATAAAAAAGGGCCTCGATATTGAATTCGATAAGAACTAATTTTTTAATTAATTCTCGGAACAATATCAATAATTATATCTCGGAACAATTGTTCAGAATAGACTTTTAAGAAGCCTGGTTTCTATCAACACTTTAAAGCAAAAACGTTTAAAAATGCATAACGCATGAATTTCTGATTGATCTCTAACCCTAACCCTGACCCAAACCGTGTTCATGTAATTACGCTAATCCTTATTTGTCATTCGATGCATGTGCATCGAATTGCGACAATCTCTATTTGTCAGTCGATGTATACGTACGTCTAAAAATCAATATCTTAAAAAAAGTTAAAAAAATTAATTTAAAAAATACATAATCTCAAAAACTATAAAACAAAAAAAATTTAATTTAAATAAAAATTAGTTTTTGCGACAACCGGATCAAATAATGAAGAAAAGATTTATAAACGATCGATTTCAAATTTAAACTTAAGTAATGAAACGTTATTTTAAAAATTGCGAATGTTAGCGTTTATAAGTGTAATTTTTTAAACTTTAACTTTGAATTAGAGCATTTTCTGTCGTATAAAAACATAGGTCTGATTTTCAGATGAAATTCTCTATTATTAATAATAAAAAAGGGAGGGAGGAACTGCAGTAGCGTCCGCCAAAGTTAAGGCAACTTCTACCTAACGTAATTTGCCTTGCTTAAGTCAAGCTCAACATTTTTTTAAGAGACCATAATGTGAGAGTTGAACTTACGATGAAGAAATCGTAAGTTTTGTACTAAGCAACTGTGCAAGTTTTGTAAATACGATAATAGTAAGTTTAAAACTCATGCCAAATTTAAGCTCACCTAAGTTTTTTGAATTCGCAATCACTAAACTCAAAAAATTTCTTTTGGGATAGCGAATTAAAATGTACAAATCTTCAAGAAAAGATAAATCGTCCTTAAAAACTTCTAGTAGTCCGCGTACAACTTGCTATAAAACTCGGAGCTAGTTGTACGTGGCTAATATTTGAATGAATTTTCTTACCTTGTTGTTTAAAACTTATTTTCCACCGGGTTAAATCAGAGCTAAAATTGTCATTGTCGTTGTCATGTTTCTTCTCCTCTAAAAGACTCACAACATCAATGGAAGTGTCGTTGAAATATTCTTGCAATATTTTAGTGGCTGTTGTTGCGTTTAATTCCGACAGATTTTTTATGTAAGACATTTAAGTGTAATATTATTACAGACGTAAAAATGTTTTATCTTTAAATATGACATACCAAAAGATTTAAATTGCTAGTAAAGATAGCTAGCAATTTAAATCTTTTGGTATGTCATGAATGTATTCTCAATAAACGTTGCGTTGTATAAAAAATATGTCCACACCCTCTTTGCACTCCCTTCTTTTTCTAAAAACACAATTGGTGGTGGTTGGTGCTCCCAGATCGAATGAATGCTCATATAATTGCATTTACTATGCACATGCTAAATTTTGCCATAATAAGAAATGAGAGCAGATAGTTTAATTAGTATTATTTTGAGTATAACCCTATTTTTAGGTAAGTAGCTCTAGGGAAACGCTTTTTTGTTGTAATTCTTTTAAGAAACATATACAAATAGGCTAACATTTAAAAGAAGAAAGGTTAAGCTTGATTTTTATATGGTTATTATGCATGGGACAATACTTTTTTATGGACTGTTTTGCTAAAAATTTTGCATAAAAATTTAGGTGATGTTCTCAGATGAACTTGTAGTCGAAGAAATGTTGAGCTCCTTTTTTTTATTATTCAGAATATTTTCTACATGCATTTTCTATGCACATGCCAAATTTTAACAAATAGTAAATAGGAACAGATAGTTTAATTAGTGTAGCACTTTTGGTACATAATTTCTGTTTTTCTCTTCGGCAAAAATAGGGGATCGGGGGCTAATTCTATAAAAAAAAAATTATTGCAATAACGAATTGTTTTGATTTTTAATATTAGACTCGTTAATATGGAAAAACTAATAAAACTTTATTGGATTCTCTAGCAGATAGTGAGTTTAATCTTTCATTTATTCTATTATAATTCTATTATTAGGAACTATTTTTTACAACAAAAACAATAATGATAAATGTAAGACCTTAATCTTTTTGAAAAAGATAGAAAAAGTTATTCTATATGTAACATATAAAAGAAGATTAATGTTTAAGATTAAAACTTTTGCTTTTGAATTGATTGTTAACTAATATTATTAGTTGACAAATTTATTAAGACACCACAAGTTATACAAATCACATTCTCGATTGGTATGTTCTTAACGGAAAACTGGTTGCAAATATAAAAAAAGATATTTTATTAATAAAGATTACAAATATATTTTATCATTTTCGGATTGCATACTTCTTTATCTTCGGATTGCATACTTCTTTATCTTCGGATTGCATACTTCTTTATCTTCGGATTGCATACTTCTTTATCTTCGGATTGCATACTTCTTTATCTTTGGATTATTGTTTAAATCTTTATACAAGCATGCCAAATTTTTACTTTTTGTTCAGATCCTAGAACACTATTTGTGAGTTTTTTAAGATTTTGTAATTATAAATCATATCATTTTTGGCTTTGTTCTTAAAAAAATCATGTTAATCATTAAATACAAAGATAAAGTAGTATACAGTAAGTAAATGTAAGTAAAATTTAAATTAAAGCAATTAAAAATACTTTAACAATATTAGGTAATGTTTTTTTTACATATGTGTATCTTTGTTTATTATTTAAATAATATATAAAGATTTCTAGTTTTAGCTTATTTTTTCAAAAATATATTTTCTTTATGTTTTCATTGTTTATTTTCATTTTGTTAATGTAGTTCTTGTACCTTACATAAAAACGATTTGACGATTGTTACTTGTGTAATATGTTTTGTTACCAAATTGTTTAATTGTATAATTTTTTTGTTATCTTTAGTGGAATTTACACAGCCTGCCACTAGTAAGTTTTTATAGCATAACTTTTAATAATGATTGTAGAATTACAAATATAAGTGTGTATACTTTGGTTTAATTTATATTATTTTCAATCTTCATTCCTTTCACCTGTTGCTACAGTTAGTAATTTTAAAAGCTAGTACTTATTTATCTGTGAATAGATTTAATACTAATTTCAAATTACAATATTTATTTTTTACTAGCTGTCATGACCCATAAAATACGGGTAAATCTATTCCACGCCGACCTTTTCTATACTTCTTTCTTACTTCAATATGTTTTAGTAAACGGTAGAAAAATAAATATATACGTTTAGAAAAACTATACTTATTGTTTACTTTTTAAAGCTATGAAATAAATTTTCTATTGTAATTAACTTTAAAAAACTTTTTGGTAGACGTTGCGCTTTAGCTATTTATCAACGAATTGGATATCAATACCAGTCTAAATAATATTTAGAATACCCGCTTGAAATGTGTTAATTAGTTCCCATTGGTATAAAACGTTTCAAAAAATATGAGATGACTTAGATGCGAAATAACAGACTTACCATCCCCGTACAATTATTACTGAATATTTATATATTACTGATCATGGTAAGTCTATTCCGCACTTACCATTTTAACAATTTCACTTCATTTCAATAATTTTTAAAAAAGAGAAAAATATAAAAATCTTTGTTTTAAGTTAACGATTAACTTTCAAAACAACTTTTGTAAACTATTTTTAAAAAAAAAAAAAAGGACGGACCTTAGTTTTGTTAATTTTAAAGAAAATAAAAGTTTCTATGTAAAAGTAAATGGTAGAAAATAATGGTAAAAATATTTTCAATTCTCAATTGTATTAAGACATTTCTTCCTGTTTAACGCACTGGTTAGCAAAGTTATTTTAAAACTAAATGGAAAAAAATGGAAAATTAAAGTGTATATATTTACAACCAAAATTAAAATAACGTAATGTAAATTCAATTCTCTAATACGTCATAAATCTAAAATAAAAAAAGTAAAGAAATTATAATATATAAAAGTAAAAGTACATTACATAAAAAACCTCAATATCAATATACCTATTTTCGGTAACCTGTTGCAATACAACAACACCAGTTGTTGGCAGTGGAGTCGCTAGGGGGTGCGGTCCGCTCCGGGTGACACCATCAGAGGGGTGACACTAAAATGAATAAAAATCAAATATGCCACAATTTTTTTTCTAAAGATTCTTATTTTTTATTTTTAGAAATTTTTAGATATTGAAGCCTTATTTTAGTTTTTAGTCTAGTGGGGTAACACCAAAAGTTTTACCGTTCCGGGTGACACCAACCTCTATGATGTCACTGGTTATTGGAGTTACTAAATAGTGTAATACAACATTAAAGAGATCACAACTTTAAAGCAACAGGCTCTGTTACAATTAGCATTTTCCATTAATATAATTAGAACCAATATTTATTGCCTATAGCTATGATAATTAAATATCTATCAATATAATTATGCGATAGTAAATAAAGCTAATTAAAACAAAAAACAAAAATTTATATCATAAAATTTGAAAAGAAATAAACTTTATGATGAGTTGTTTTTGAAATAGTTTCAAAATATTTGTTAAAAAGCTATTTTGTTTAAAAGTGCAAACCTTTTAATACCAGTAAAGAATAAAAAAACAAATTGTGTAATAAACAAATGTAATATTTTGCAATTTTTATAAGTATTTGATAAATATTAAAATGTTGTCCTGGTTTTTAGTGAATGATCAGAAGCAGTGGATTTCAGTAATGAAACTAAGCAATTTCTATGATTAAAAACAATAAATTAGGAGTTAGTTGACCATATTTAGTTACTCTCCAAACTTTTATCATGCAGCGCGTGTATAAAACGCGATATTAATACATATTTTTCTTTTACTAAAGCTGTTTTTTTCTGAATGTAAACCTAAAAATTTTGTTATAAACGATATTTTCTTAAGCATATGTCTTATAAACATAAAATCTTCTATTATGTTTTTTAAAATGTTTTAATTAATCAAGAACAAATCAAGAAAGTGCATTTTTCCGCTAACCATATTGATATTGTTTGGAAGTACTGTTTTGAAAAGTACTATTTTCAAGATAAATTACTTTTACCCTTTTTTCAAAAGATTTTCATCAAAATACATAAGTTAAAGTTTATTCTATTGATGCACCAATGTATTTTTTTCAGACACATTGGAATGTTCAGCACCAGGCCTGTATATATAATATATATTATACATATATATATATATATATACAGTATCGGACAAAACAAGTGCAACCAAATAATGCTAGTTTAGTTTCTCTATGTAAAAGTGCTGCACTTTTTCAATTTAGAGGAATAACTATGTAACTGTTTAGAGACAACGTTCTTCAAGTTTTATTCATCACAAAGTTCATTATTTGTACACGAAAATTAATAAATTAATCAAAAGTATTAAAAAAAAGTTGATTTCCTTCTGGACAAAACAAGTGCAACTTGACAAAATTTTGACAAAGCTGTATTTCGCTATTAATATTTCGTGGCGAATCCTTTGTTGTCGATCACAGCTTTGCATCTTCGAGGCATAGATTCAATCAGGTGATCAATTAAACTTTGTGGAATAGCTGCCCAGGCCTTTTGGATTTGTTCAAACAGTTGATCCTTATTGCGAACATCTTTACGATTAATTCTGCGGTTGACAATCTCCCATAGATTCTCGATAGAGTTGAGATCCGGAGATTGAGGCGGTCAATCCATCACCGATAGGTGGTCTTGAAAAACTACTGCTTGACTACTTTTGCAGTGTGTTTCGGATCGTTGTCTTGCTGAAAAACCCATTTTATTGGCACTTCGATAAACTGTCTTGATAATACTGATTGATAGACTTCCATATACTGACTGAATTACATGTCTCTTATCCAGAAATATCCTGTATCCAGAAACATTCAGAAGCACTTAGACGCTTCCTTCTGGAAGCGTCTGGATGCGTCTGAATGTTTCTGGATACTTCTGGATACTTCTGGATGCTTCCTGATGCTTCTTCTGGAAACTTCTGGAAGCTTCTGCATGCTTTTAGAAACTTCTGGAAACTTCTGGATACTTCCTTTAATTATTAAAAAACTTTCGTGACGTTGACACGGACCAGACTTAAGAAAATGAAACAAACCAATTAAGTTGCATTTGTTTTGTCCGCTGCAAAATGGCACTTGTCAACAAAATTCTGCCTGTATGCTATCACCTGTCAGCTGATTGTTCATGTCATGGCATGCTATGACCCCAGACTTCTGAACTGTTTG